GCTGAAGTTCCTGCTTGCACAGGTGTTACAGTTGGCCCAGCCACCTGACATTGATGTTATTAAGGTGCCCCATGTGCTCCATGATGACTTGGAGTTTTAACTGAAAAGAACCCCTTGTGGTTTATGTAATCTGAGGCATGGTGAGGGGGGCACATATTGGGTATGTGGGTCCTATCGATGGCTCTGCATGTAGTTTTAGAAGCCCATCTGTTTGAATCCAGTGATGATCTGTAGGTCCCTGAGTTGCCCCAGGAAATCAAGTATGGCATTTCACACTTTAGGTATGGCTGTTTCACCATTGTCTACCTAGTGTCAAACTAGTTGGTGGCAGATCAGAGGTTGTCAGTGTGCACCAACTTCCAAGTCACTCTAGTCATATGTCTCAATGGACATGGGATACTGAAGCCTGCCATCACTGCACTGGAGCTGGGGTGTCAGCTCAGCACAAAGGCCCATAGCACTTTCTAAAGTGTTTGCCCATACTGCTCATCCTCCCAGGTTTTCAGCACTAGTTGCTTCCCCCATCCTCCCCAGTCTGAGCTTAGTAGTATGGACCAGCAGTGGTAAGATGGCATCTGATAATGGGCCCACAGTTCCATGGTTTGGCAAACATCATGTAGTGCTTCCTGCAAGCAGGCCAGCATGAAGCCCATGGCAGCCTCAGAGGATCCTCAAAGCAGCACCTGGCAGGGGTCAGGAGCCCACACTGCCACAGCATAGGGTGCCTGTGGATTACCTTGGCCAGGGCAAGGATTTGCTCCCTTCTACCACTGTCATTTCCAGGAAGCTGCTGGAGATCCAGTCCCAGTTAGGACAGTCAGTCAAGGAGGGATTGGAGATCCTGTTACCAAGGACAGATTGGAATTCTCCTCAGCGAGATAGTTGGCCAGTCAGCACTTTCCTCTGTGCTCAGCTGTTTTGGGCTGCTGTCAGAAATATGTGAAAAAGATACTCCAGGAAAGTTTGCTGAGATACCTGCTTACTGACCCTCTAGTGAGAGTATGTGTGCTGTGTGTGTTAGAGATGGCAGGAAACAATACTGTGCAGCTGCTCATAAACCATTCCAACTCTAATACTGTGTAAGATTCCACAGATTTAACATGTGCTTAGTGTCCCATGTGACAAGCTGCTTATGTGCCATCATCAGGGAACAAGTCTGGTTGAAAATAGACTTGAACAGGGATAAACTAGATTTTGCAGTTGGAGGAGAGGGTACTTTCAATGGAGCTTACCTCTGGCGCAGGCCACTTCCACCCTGACCTGTGTTGCCAGTGCACCCCTTATCTCTCCCTGTCCCTCTTCTTCCCACACCCCCACCTCAGCATTTGGCCTATGAGCCATAGGTTACTGCACCCTGCACTAGAAGTAGAATATAGCAGTATTTTATAAACTCAGCTGCAGCCATAGTGGATTATTTCTTTTGCCTCTTTCTCTTTTTGGTCTCTTTTTTTTCCTAGCACTTTACTGCATTCTTTAGGATTACACAGTGCCCTATTTCCCAAATGTTCACATTTGTGTCTTGTATGGACTACTGAACCTTGAATGCAAATAACAAAGTGGGAAGGCGTTTTGATCAGCTGTCTTTCTCAAAAGCATCTTAAAGCCATGTACAACCGATTGTATGAAATAAAATATATAAAATGTGTATCTTTAACATACCTTGGCATAAAAATGTTGCCATCTGAGTTGACCTAATTAGCTGGTGTGTGTATTTTGTTTTTTAAGTCAAATATTCCCATTTTATTAATTACAAATACATTAAGTGACTGTTTGTTTGAAAGGTTAAGGATAAGCATCTACAGACAATGACACATTAGAGTTTGAAAGGGTTGTATTTTGGAAGTTCATTAGCAAGGTAAAGTGGCACTTTAGCAAGGTTTCTGCATTAAGTAGATGGTTTGGCAAGGAGTCCATGTGCTTGGCTGTTGCAGAGACCTTTCTTTCCTTTCCTTTGATCAGGTGTGTGAGTATATTGAAAATTGGCCAAATTAAATCATTACCTTTTTTAAAATAATGTTTTGAGATGTCTTTGCATAGTGATGTAGTCTTTAAATAAAGACTGTTGTGGTTATGCGTTTTTTAGATAGGTTCTTTTTAAAAATGTGAACTTTTTGGTACAAAATGAACAAACATATACAATTTGCAAATGGGTGGCTTCAGTGCGAAATTGCAGGCTAATTCCCAGAATAAACAGGCATATTACAAACAAAGATATATTTTTATTTGCTTAATTAGTCTTTCCTTAATCAGCCATGTTACACCAAACAGATAGAGACCAAAAATCTTATGGCGAGTATGGTGAGCAGTCAAGTTGCTGTGGAAGTGTCTGCAGCAATAGAGAGGATGCATACTAATGTCTGTTATGTTATTCCTCTGCAGATGAAGCAATAACACTAGCTGTTCTGTCTTGGAGCTAATAATGTACCACATCTGCTTGAAAGTTGATAAAAATATATTTATCCTTTTTTTAAAAGCTGAGGGCTTAAACACAGGCAGAATAAAGTAAATATATTTTTTTCATGCAGCTAAATAAGTTTCTGTGTTGAAGACTTGTACTCAAAAGTTTAAATTAAACTGTTATGTGATGGCTTAGAGATATTTGTTAAATTTACAACAAGGTAATGGTTTGTAACCTTTATTTTATGAATTGAAAAGCCCTATAATATACAGCTTACAGAATAAAAGAAAGGATAAGGTTGTTAGGGAAAATGACTTGTCTAAATATTACCTTTAGAAGGGTGAAATATTCTTGGCTTCCTAGTATATGTTTTGTATTAATCTCACCAGAGTAATAAAGATGTGAATTGGGAATAAATGGGTCTGATGGTGCTATAATGTACAGTCAAAGCTGGGTCCTGTTTTTACTGAAGACTAGTAGGATTTGAAACAGGGTGCTTATCATATTTACTTGAATCTAAGATGATCCTGAATTCAAGATGACACCCCCTCCAATAATTAGATGCTGTACATGGGGAGGAAAACTGATATTTTTTTAAAATTTTCCATGTATAGAAATCTAATTATTGGAGGATCTTGTTTAATTCATCTCCCCCCCCCCC